CTTCCAGGGCCGCCCCGACGTGCGCTCCTTAAACCCGTCATTAATCGGGGCAGTTACAGCTAAAGGCCCCACGCCGGGGCCTTCGCCCTGTCGTTCCTGACAGTGGACTCACTCAAAGGGCGTCTGATCAGAACTTCATAGGGGAGCCCGGGCGCCCCAGGGCCAGGCTCAGACGACAAAGGTGCCTGGAGGGGCGGCTGGTGGCTGGGGAGGGAGCGGTTCTGAGTTTCCCTCCAGCGGCCCAGGCCCCAGGCGGGAGGAACACAGGCAGCCCGTCGGGGATAAGCCAGGAACAGACAAACGGAACTCAATTTTTGTTGCCAGAATCGTGCACATTCGGAGAGCTCACGTCTCCTGAAAATTTCTGGCTGAGGAATCAGGGCCCACGGGGCTGCCTCTCCCACTCCCTGCCCCGCACCACACCAACCCTTCCTCTCTCGTCCCTTGCCACCTGGCCCTCCAGCCACATGACCTTGGGGACCGGGGGCTGGGACACGCAGAGAAACAAGGCCCCGAGAGAGACAGTCTCACCAGGAGCCCCGACGGCCAGGGTCCACTGGCCCAGGCGGGGCTGGTGTCACGGAGGATGTAGGTGGGCTGGGGGGCCGAGGGGAGGTGGCCTGCCCATGAGTGGACACTTCCCCTCCTGGACGGCGGGGGCCTGAGAGAGGAGACCGTGGGTGGCCCCGCGCTCCAGGCTCTGGGCTCCTGAGCGGCTGGGTGAGGTGGGCCCCGACCCCTGGGCTGCATGTCCGCGCTGGGTCACTGGGTCAGCAGGTGAGTCTCAACATACCTTTCTTAATCCTCAACACTCCATCTTCTTTCACTCCACAGGCTGGTGGCTGGGGAGGGAGCGGTTCTGAGTTTCCCTCCAGCGGCCCAGGCCCCAGGCGGGAGGAACACAGGCAGCCCGTCGGGGATAAGCCAGGAACAGACAAACGGAACTCAATTTTTGTTGCCAGAATCGTGCACATTCGGAGAGCTCACGTCTCCTGAAAATTTCTGGCTGAGGAATCAGGGCCCACGGGGCTGCCTCTCCCACTCCCTGCCCCGCACTGCACCAACCCTTCCTCTCTCGTCCCTTGCCACCTGGCCCTCCAGCCACATGACCTTGGGGACCGGGGGCTGGGACACGCAGAGAAACAAGGCCCCGAGAGAGACAGTCTCACCAGGAGCCCCGACGCCCAGGGTCCACTGGCCCAGGCGGGGCTGGTGTCACGGAGGATGTAGGTGGGCTGGGGGGCCGAGGGGAGGTGGCCTGCCCATGAGTGGACACTTCCCCTCCTGGACGGCGGGGGCCTGAGAGAGGAGACCGTGGGTGGCCCCGCGCTCCAGGCTCTGGGCTCCTGAGCGGCTGGGTGAGGTGGGCCCCGACCCCTGG